GCTTCAGTATTATCTTGTAAACTAGAAGTTTATTTTCGGTAGACAGTTATGACTTCCTGCCAATTAGCCAATACATCTGACTAAATTTAATGTCCAGTTGTTTTCTTTTGGCGAGAATATGTGTGCGCCAGGTCAACCGCCGGTCCAGGTGAAGGCCTAGGTATTTGATGGATTCCTCTTGTGGTATGCGTGTTCCGTTTAATAGTACCGGAGGGCAGGTTCCGTACCTCAAAGCGAAGGCGATGTGCACGGATTTAGTTTCGTTGGCCTTAATTCTCCAGCGCTGTAGCCATTCTTCGCATTGGTCTAAGTGCGTTTGCAGTATCCGGGAAGCTTCAATAGGGTTCTCATGAGACGCTAGTATTGTTGTGTCGTCAGCATAGGTGGCAAGCATTGTTTGTCCGGTTTCTGGCAAGTCAGCCGTATATATGGAGTATGACATAGGCCCAAGGATACTTCCTTGCGGAACTCCGGATAAGACAGGGTATAATTCGGTATAGGCTTCGTCGTATTTAACTAAAAAGTTCTGTCGGTAAGATAAGACTTTAGTAGAGAATACATTGGATGTGGAAGAGCGCACTTAAGTTTGTATAATAAGCCTATGTTCCATACTTTATCGAAGACTTGGCTTATATCAATACATACGGCTGAGCAGTAGCGCCTGTTAAGGAGGGTAATATGGAGCAGGTTAGTACTCTGGAGAGGAAAGCACAATAGCTGTGCAAGGAGCTGTGGAGGTGGTTGGTTCATGAGACTTATTACCACGGTCTCAGCAGATCCTGTTGTCTGGATGTATTTGGTTTCTTTACGGATATTCGCAGATAACAATACTGTTCCGCAGCATTTGTAGACATATCGCAAGCATTTGACAAAGTATGGCACGCAGGACTCCTATACAAGTTAAAACGGTCTCTCCCTCCGAACTACTTCACTATGTTTACGATCCTCAAGTCCTACTTGCAGAATAGACACTTCCTCGTACAAGTTGAAACAGAGCACACAAAACTATTCCCAATCAACGCGGGCGTACCCCAAGGCAGCGTCCTAGGGCCTCTATTATACCTATTATATACTGCAGATCTCCCAACCACTTCAGAAACAATGAGAGCAACCTTTGCTGACGACACCGCCGTGGTAGCCACAGATAACGATCCAGCTGCTGCTTCGCAGAAACTGCAAACCAACCTACTAGCAATGCAAGTTTTGAGGTTTTCACGGCGATGACAATGAAGAAAGTCGTCTTCTGGGTTTAGGCACCGGTGCCTAAACCCAGAAGACGACTTTCTTCAACCTACTAGCAATTCAAAACTGGATAAAAAATGGAGAAAGAAAGTAAATGAATTCAAATCGATCCACGTTACGTTCACCACAAGAAAAGAAACATGCCCACCGGTACACATAAATAACGGACACCTCCCCCGAGAAGAAGACGTCAAGTATCTTGGACTGCACCTTGACAGACGACTTACCTGGCACAAACACATCCTAGCAAAACGGAAACAACTGGGAATTACCCTCACCAAAATGCACTGGCTACTCGGACGTAAATCAAAACTCTCTACAGCCAACAAATTCCTTATATACAAAACAATCCTAAAACCAATCTGGACCTATGGAATACAATTTTGGGGTACAGCTTCCAACTCAAACATAGCAATTCTAGAACGATTTCAAGCCAAAGCCTTGCGCATGGTAGTGGACGCACCTTGGTACGTACCGAACATAGTCATCGGAAGAGATCTCCAAATACCAACAGTGAGGGAAGAAATTCACCGATACAATACTCGGCTCAGAGCCGTCCGCCTTACGGAGCCACCGGACTTCAGGTGACTGCCAAGACATCTGCCAAATGATCTGCCCACCAGATTTATATTGCAACAGTATACCAATAATTCTAGATTAAAGATCTAGGTAGTAAGCACTCCCCCAATAGTCACACGAGGCCTCAAGCCTGCTCACTAAAGAAGAGTGCAAATGAGCTCTCCTCTTCAAGTCAAAGTACACCATAACAATTTGCTGAATGTATTAGTACAGATTGCAAATAAAATGGGACTATATAACAAAAAAAAAATTCACAGATGACTGCATAATATACAGGAAAATACTGGACAGTAGTGACATGGGCAAGTTGCAGCCGGATCTAAATAAATTAGGGGAATGGGCGGTAGTAAACGAAATGAAGATAAATCCAGATAAGAGTAAAGCGGTAATTTCATGAGAACTAGGGTGAAGATGGACTGACGTATTATTTTGGGGATGAATTAATTCCAGAGGTAAATACCTTTAAGTACCTAGGAATAATCATACGGAGAGATCTAAGATGGGCAGATCATGTAAACTATACGCTACGAAAAGCATGGAAGGCTCTTCATTTAATAATGCGTATACTGAAACAGAGCAATAATAACACGAAACGTCTAGGCTGTACGTCACTAGTGAGACCGATACTTGAATATGGTTCGGTATGTTGGGACCCATACAGAGAATGGCAGGTTAGCGCTTTAAATCGGGTACAAAGAAAAGCAGCTAAATTTGCAGATCCTACAGATGAATCTGGTTGGGAAACTCTGGCACAGAGTAGACTGATAGCCCGTCTGTGCGCCCTCTACAAGGCCTACACCAGGAGACCGGCTTGGAAAGCGATAGGGGATAGCCTGCTTAAACCATGCTACCTGAGTAAGGATGATCATATTTGGAAAGTTAGAAGCAGGAAACAAAGAACTGATGTTGGCAGATATTCCTTTGTAAATAGAACCATAAAGGATTGGAATAGTTTACTTGCAGGCATACTAATGTCTTTCCCCTGTAAACTAAACACTTTTAGAAAGAGGGTTAGGAAAGTACAGAGGCCTTACTTGCTTACTTACTTACTTACTTGGGCCTCGCCATAGCTCAAGCGGTTAGTCGCTGGCTTCCCATCGATCCCGGGTCTGGTCAAGTGGGATTTGTGGTGGACAAAGTGGAGCTGGGGCAGGTTTTCTCCGAGTACTTCAGTTTCCCCTCCCAATCTTCATTCCACCAATTGCTTCACAATCACCCTCACCTATCTTCTGAGGCTGATACAATAGGCCAGAAGTGGCCGCAGTACAAGGGACTTAGTCCCACCCCATTAGCAATAAAAAAATACTTACTTACTTACTTACTTACTCATGGAGCTGAGCCCTTCTGGAGTAGCCGCCAATTCAGCAGCTACTCAAGAATTTCCCAGCATTTTATTGAACCCGAAGGTCATTACCGTGTTCACAAGAGGCCTCCACTGGTCTCTATCCTGAGCCAGCTCTATCCAATCCATACCATCCAATCTTATCTCTCTAAGATCCATTCTAACGTTGTCCACCCACCTACGCCTTGGTCTTCCCTGTGGTCTCTTTCCTTCTGGCTTTCCCACCAATATCCTATACGCATTCCTCTTCTCCCCATTCGTGCTACATGACATGCCCTCCTCATCCTCCTTGACTTGATCATTTTAATTATATCTGGAGAAGAGTACAAGTTATGAAGCTCCTTATTATGCTATTTTCTCCAACCTCCTGTCACTTCATCTCTCTTCGGTCCAAATATTCTCCTCAACAGCCTGTTCTCAAACACCCTCAGTCTATGTTCCTCCCTTATTGTCAGAGACCAAGTTTCACACCCATACAGAACCACAGGCAAAATTATAGTTTTGTATATTCTAATTTTATGTTTTTGGACAGCAGACGAAAAGACAAAAGGTTCTGGACTGAATGGTAGCAAGAATTACCCGAGTTCAATCACCTCTTATTTTCCTCCTGAATCAGGTTTCGATCTGTTATCGTTGTTCCCAAATATCTGAACAGAGGCCTTAGGCGGAGTTAAATGAATCAAGTGAAGTAATGTGAAGTGTCCTTGTTCGAGTGCAGTGAAACGAACACAAAAACGTGCCCTTTTATAACTTTATACGTGTATGTTTGGATTTGCACTGTGTACATTGTTTATTGTATGTATTTCGTTTTGTATTGTTCCCTTATATTATAGACTTTCCTTGTCTGTATCAGCGTAAGTTCTACTGCCACCGGGTGAACACCCAATTGCAGTAAATAATAATAATAATAATAATAATAATAATAATAATAATAATAATAATAATAGGTGAAAGGCAAGGTAAAGTTGTCCCTGTGCTTAACTAATTAAGCACTGCGCCATGAAGGCGAATGGGGGAGTGGATGTATAGATCCACATTTTCTTGACCTCGGCATGCCCCGGCCGCTTTATCCTCCGGTAAACAGCCCCCGGTACCAATTGAATGGGAGGTTGGGTGGACCCTAGTGTCAGTCTGGACGGTGTGGAGAAGAGAAAAATCTTGACCCCATCGGGACTCGAACTCCAAGCCTTTGTCGTCCATCACGTAGCCAGTTGCTACACCAAATACGCTATCCCAGTTCCCTTTACGTAAGTAAAACAACACCTCTCGACATCTCTGACCAATTGGAGCTAAATGTTTTTTTACTTTCTATATAGAAATTATACGTAACCACGGAAATATATTAACATCAGACTGTGAATCAATTTGCTTAGTGTCAAAGAGATGGCAGGTCAGTATCCTTTCACACACAATGTTACACACGAGAGATATACAGGGAGCAGTTATCGGTTCAGAGCCGAGTATCTCGACTGTGGCATGAAGAGAATTAATGATATTTATATATAGCTCTATATCAGAGAACAAAGCCGGCAAGTTGAGACACTTTAACCGTCTGAAGCTCGAATTACATCAGAAGAATGTTTAAAAATTTAGTTCCTACCGCATAAAAACACATTTGCTCAGTTACTGAGGCCAGCATTTTAATGGTATGTAAAGAAACAATCCATACTCATTCTGAGGGTCAAACGAAACCTAAACACCTTCTATGGGAAAAATGCAACTTTTCCATATAAAATTAAGTGGTACATATGTACTTCAAAGGATTAAAATGTGAAAATGTCATGCAAGTGTCTGAAGCTCAGTATCTGATCTAATTGTCTGAACCACTTGTGAACAGGAAACATCCGCTGCTTCGAGTCCTGTGAGAACGACTCACCGCAAGGTACCCGAGAGCCTGAGTGGGATCTTCAAGGAAGAGGAACTCAAGGTAAATGAGATAAACAAAGTTCATTTCATATGTTGAATTTTAGGGAGAAAATTCTTAACGGTTCATGATGTGTAAGAAAATGTTTATTTATGTAACCTAATGCAGTGTAGGCTTTATAATTTGTCAGTGTAGTTAAACGTCTAACGTCCCGCACAGAGCTCACCAAAGTTTGATGTTCATGAAAACGTTCAATTATGACCTCATGTCTTTGTGACGATCAATAAGGTTGAAGATCAGAATTCCCCTACGAAGTTTTAATGAATATATCCAGTGTGTAATTATTTTTAAAAATATGTCCAACTATTTTGGAACTGGTAGCAGATCACAAAGAGTGGATAGATGGACAGACAAGAATATCACATAAGGCGTTACCTTATGCAATGAATGGGGGCCATCGAGAGCCACTGCTGACTATCGGAGATGGGTTTAGTTGTCGTGAATAAAACAGTTTTAATACTTCGATTCAGGGTTTTACCAACAACAGTTACCTGTGGTGCTTATTAGGGAATACCATTTTGGCTTCTCTGCTTAGGAATTTCTGTCTTTTACTACGTAGTACGAAATGGCAGTAACGGATTCCGGGGTTTCACTGTAACATGCTATGCACAACCCATGTCACCTGTGACGCACGGAAGAATTCTAATTATCTGAATCTTTTAGATGAGCATATGGAGTCTGTTCACCCTTTGCGGTGCCTTTCACATTCTCATTCCCTTGACAGATTTCGATTAACCCTTTGAAGTACCACCCGCCATAACATACTAAAACTCTACAGTCCTCCCTCAGAGTGCATTTATGTGCTTCGCATGGTTCTCAGTTAGCAGAATTTCTTTCCCTGAACAATTTTGCCCCTGTGGTCTAGTGGTCAGAGTTCCTGGTTACAGATCCAGAGGTCAGGATTCGATTCCCGGCGCTACTAGATTGGGTCTGGAACGGGATTCACTCAGCCTCTTGAGAATAATTGAGGAGATATTTCAAGGAAATAGCGGCTCCGGTCTAGAAAACCGAAATTAATGGCCGTGGGGATCCGTTGCACTGACCACGCGACACTCTCTATCTGCTAAAGTTGGAACTAACTTCGCCGAAAAGCGGCGGTCGCTCGGTCGGTATAGTTCGCTTGCGGACTACAACCACTGAGTTTTTATTTAAGAATATTAACTAGCTGATCTTTATAGCGGAGAATTATTATGTTTCCTGTGAGATGCGAACACAATTTTCATATATTATCCAGAAGAAATTCCCCAGTCCATATCTCAAGCCACAGTTTCTAACCGTTCTGACATCTTCACTTTCAATCAACTCTTCTCTTTAGGACGAGCGGGCGAAGCCTGAGAACCTTCTAACAAAACAATGCTCTTTCTCCCTCCCCCATAATAAAGTGTCTCTCACTTTTCCCACGACTTGTCATTTCAACGACACTTCTACTATACTCCCCCCTCTCTCGCTCACTCCTTCGCTCAACCACCAATATGTAAATGTCTAATTTGTCGTGTTGATCCTTGCCAATAGTTGTACTCTAGATTTGAATTGAGATCAGTTTGGCCTTCTAGAACTTCCACCTAGAGGAATGGAGTAACCAAGTGGTAGGGCCGCGCCATAGCTCAAGCGGTTAGTCGCTGGCTTCCCACCGCGGCGGCCCAGGTTCGATCTCGGGTCTCATCAAGTGGGATTTGGGGTACACAAAGTGGCGCTGGGTCGAGCTTTTTCCGAGTACTTCGGTTTCCCCTGCCAATCTTCATTGCACCAAATTCTCCATAATCATAATCACCCGGGGCAGGTACAGTAGGCCAATCAGTAGCCGCAGTGCTGAGTGGACCCAGCTGGACTCCAAACCCCACTAAGGGAATTTGAAAAAAAGAAAAATTGAAACCAAGTGGTAAGCACTCCTTCTTTATATTCACGAGGTCCTAGGTTCAATTCTAGATCCAGATACACACTCTCCTGTCTGGGGGTTTTGTGAGTTTCCTTAGTAACTCCTTTGAAATGTTGCTATAGTACTTTAAAATAGGCCAAGACCTCTTACTTCCGAGTTTTTCTTTCACTGTTTTGACCCCATTGGACGTGTTAAGGCGCATGCAATTGGAAAAAAATGCCAGAAAACAGATTATGAAAGACACATGATATTTCAATTAGGCTATGTTTCGTTAAATACACACGAAATTAGAAAGCCTAGAAACGACATTACGGAACGTTAGATTCATTTATAATTTCATACTTTTACTTCGTAATTTGCCCTATTTTCGAGACAGCATTTATGGAATTAGAACGAAAAGCAACATCCTACTCTTCCGTACATAACTTCTAGGTTCTTGATCGGCGAAGAACGACTTGACTTGTTGCAGTGCTGTGCTAAAAATACTCGGTCTGCGTGTGAAGATGCGTGCAAGCCTAACGCAACGTTTGTTGTCTAGACATTCCACTTATTCAGCTTCGTTCACTCATACCAGGGTCTACGAATCGTGTTCGAATTTCCGAGTATGGAATTACTATAAATATGGAACTTTGTGAGCAGAGAATCTATGGGTGTCAGAATGGTTGAACTGACTTTGTTAAAACCTTTTAGTTAAAGTGATAACCTTTCTAATTTATACTGGGGATGTACCTGTTTCGAAACTAACCCTGGACACAGGCTATCATGACTGATGATGTCGTGGTTTTTCTTAGTCCTTCCAGACAAATACCGGAATTGTGACGAGCGCGTCCCTGCACAACCTTTCTCATTCATTATCTTTTTTTTTAATGCTAGTCGGTCCCTTATACCGCGGCCACTGCTGGTCTATTGTACCAGCCCCAGATGATATGTGAGGGTGATTGTGGAGCAGTTGGTGGAATGAAAATTGGTAGGGGAAACCGAAGTACTCGGAGAAATCCTGCCCCAGCGCCACTTTGTCAACCACAAATCCCACTTGACCAGATCCGGGATCGAACCCGGGCCGCCGCTGTAGGAAGCCAGCTACTAACGGCTAGAGTAATTCACCACTTACTAATCGTCCAATAATACTGCTCTATACTGTCTCAGTTAGCGACAAAACAAACTCCGTGACCTGAAGTACGCAAGTCAACTATACCGACGAAGCGACCACCGCTTGTCGGAGAAGTTAGTGCCAATTTTAGAGGATAGAGGGTGTCATCTGTTTCCTTCCTCAGTGAAGGGAAGGGAAGACACGTACTCTGTTGGGTCCCTTGGAAAGAGTACATGGTCAGCGCAACGAATCCCCACGATCGTTAATCCCGGTTTTCTCGACCAGAGCCGGTAATTGCTTGAAACAGCTCCTCAATTATCCTCACGAGGCTGAGTGGACCCCGTTCCAGACCCACTACATCTCAGAAAATCTGGTAGCGCCGGGAATCGAACCCGGGACCTCTGTATCTGTTGCCAGGAACTCTGGGCACTAGACCACATAAGCGATCCAGTGCATATATTCTCGATTATAAAGGTAAAGTATATTTATCCCTGAAACAGGCTGTGGAGGCACATAGGGATTTGAGAGATTGAGGTTCCCACATCTTCTAGACAATCGGCTCACAGATGACAGTAAGGTTGTCAGGCTCACGCGCCTGCCGCCCTTTACCCCTCAGGAAGATTCCTGGTGTTCATTTCTGTTAGAGGTTGAGTCGACCCCAGGGCCATAATATGGCTGTAAGGATTAGGTAAACTGAAAAATCCACCTAAACTGGACTCGAAACCGCTACCTTCAGGCTTGTAGCATAGTTCCCCAACCAACTACACTACCGCGTACCGCTCTCTATATATAACCGGCCCTTAATTTAAGCATAAACACAATTGTTAGCTTACTATATTTCATATGGAAACAAGAAGTTCTGGGAAGAACTAACCGTCCACTTTCCTTTGATACCATACGGCCCGCATCTGAAACGAGAAAATTGTGTGTGGGGGGGGGGCACATATAGGCAGACATTAACACACAGACAACAAGGTTATACTCATAAGCCTCCTTGATACGATACGGACCTCATAGAAAACGAAAAATTGGGGGGGAATACAAAGACACAGAGACAGCAAGGCGATATAGTAAGCCTCCTAACTAAGTGAAATTAGGCGGGATACACAGACTCAGATACATAAACAGACGGACAGACACAGACAGATAGCCAAAGACAGCAAAATGATCTCTTAAGCCTCATTTTATTTTCAAAATAAGGAAAATGGGCTAAGAGTAAGGATTATGAGAGCATGGTGGTGCCTGTATTTGTATATATTTTTATCAGATGGCACAATTTCGCACTATTTGGTATAAACGAACCTGACCTGGTTTTTAATTTCATTAATCAGCTTAACAACATGGCGGATACACGGACTCTACTTGGGGGTCGTGAATACATGGTAACAAAATAAGTTTCTTTGCACAGTATAAATCATAAATTTTCATTTACCTTCCTGCTTGACAGTGACAACTGTGTACTTTTGGAACTGCAAACATCAGTGCGGGAGCGGGTCTTTGGGGCTATATCTGTCAAATTTAACATATATAGAATCTATAGACAAAAGTAAATTCCAAAAACGGAGGTTCTACTCCTATACCTCCGCCGCCACCACCACCAATAATAATAATAATAATAATAATAATAATAATAATAATAATAATAATAATAATTCAGTTCGTGTTTATTTAAATGCAAACTTAACAGCACAGTGACCAATTACAAAGTTAGCACGAGTACACACAAGTAAACAAAAACGATTAAAGAGCGAAATACAAAATAAGACAGTCTATATAATAGCAATAAATTAATAGCAATTTCAAGAAAAATTTAAGTTAAATTTAACAGGCGAGAAAAATAAAATAAGTACATTTCCAATAGTTGTTCCATTTGTGGTGAGAAAGGACAATACATATACATACACACACACACACACACAGAAGTTAGTAATAA